GGTAGGGGAAGGGAATGACAGGTCGTACCGCCAACCAAGCTCGGCCAGGTGGGGGTAGGGGTAGAGAATGACAGGTCGTACCGCCAACCAAGCTCAGCCAGATGGGGGTAGGGGAAGGGAATGACAGGATCGTACCGCCAACCAAGCTCGGCCAGGTAACCAAGCGAGGTACAAGAGCGAGTAGGCAAACCCGCCAGTACCTGCGTCTTCTCTGGAGCACCCGGTGCAACTCACCGGGTCGGGAGGCAGCGGCGCGGACATGTGTTCGGCCGCCGTCGGCCGCCGACTCTTGGGCGCGGTTTGGATCCTGCCGGGAGTATAGCGGCTTAGGGGCGGGCGTGGGGGCTGCCGTGGGGAGCGGAGGGTGACCGTGCCGCCCCCGAGCCGCCACCTGTCGAGCAGACAGACGTTGTCATGCGGCCATCAATCACCCGGCCCACCGCGGCGCCGATAAAACTTGCGACGGCGCTTTTCGACACGAATGAAATACGATTAGTATCAGTGCGCCGCGCGGAGGGCGGGGGCCGCGAGGGCGCCACCCGGGTGCAGCGGGGCGGGGTGGGTGCGGCGGGCATGTGTTGCATGCTATCGGGACGGGCGGGGCCTGAGCGCTCGCGCCTCCACTTCACTCTGCGATATAAAAAGATCTACGTCGTCAAACTTTGACTCTCTATACTCGGGCCGATGCTGCAGCTCTCGCTCGCCATGGTGGCGCTGAGTGGGCGGCCGCCGCCGGGCGGGCGGGCGTGCTTATGGCTTTACAGCCGGCGTGTCGTAATATCGCCTGAATAATTTGGTGTAACAATAATAATAATTCTGCTTGTGTACACTGATTACCACACGATTCACTTGCGCTCAACAAGCGCTCACGCACTTCCGGGCTTTATGGCCGGCCGTCGTAACTCGGCGGGGCAGTAAACAGACTTCGGATTGCGTTCATTGCAAGGCGCTGGAGGGGCGAAAGGAGGTGGGGTGGGGGGGAGGGGGGTTCCACCCCGGCGAGGTTGCCGGCTGGCAGGGTCCCGGCCCGATATTAAGCTCCTTTTGCTTCAAAGAAATGCGATCTAAATTTGCAATACACGACGCAGCACGACGAGTACTTATTTCAGAGCTTCTATAGTTGCGGCGTTTGGAACCGCGCGGACGACAG